AGAGAGAATTATTGGAAGTAAAACCAGGCTTCAAGTATCACCTGAGTTGTAGGGCTGCTCTAGTAATGCTCTGTTCTGGTGGTAGTAGTATGGTAACAAAGTACTAGATCATGGGTTGTCTGCCACAAATGTTCAGCCTTTCATTTAGAGGGCTTGGACAGAAAGACAAATCTTGTCTCAACATGTAGATACATTCATAAAAAAGCAACACAGTTTTGCTTAGCCTCTAAGCTAGTAGTAGGCCTTCTGGTACAGTGTAGCACTGGATTGGTGTCAGCTGCCTGAACATAGGTCAGTGCCAGCCTAGGAAGGAAGTAGGCTGAATGCAAAGAAACTGTTAATGGTGTTGCCCGTTCTGTTTTGTGTATGCCATTACTGCAGTTCTAAAAGCAAACTTGTCTTTGAGATACCAATCAACCGTCCGGATGCTGGTGAGACTAGACTTGTCAGGCTTCCTTACCTTCTACGCTCCAGTGACCATCCCCAGGACTAAACTGCTGCCTTGCCCCTCCGGCTGGTAGCAGGCTCTGTAACTGGGCAGCAGGATGATTTTTAGGTATACCGAATTAGATTCAAAAGCAGGTGCTGTTTTTTACCTCATGGTCCAAACTAGAGACAGAAAGTTGTGACTGGGAACCAAAGGGTCTCATAATGCCTTATTTCTTCCTTTTTGGAAGACTGTGTGAAAGAGTTGTATGATCAATGGAAACTAAAACTTCCCTGTTAATGGTAGAGAGGTGATGCACAGAAATGTGAAGGTAGTCATAATAATACTAATAATACTATTATTGCTATTATATGTTATCACTTATTATATTTTATAATTATTTCTATAGTTAATATAATTTTAATATATATTTTTAATATTTTGTCTATATTGTTACATAATTATACATAATATTTTTATATTATTATAATACTATTTGCTGATCAGCTGTTAATAATGTATTTCTTAGCAGAATGACTAATAAACTTTCCAGGGAAGGCAAGTAGCCTTTGAAATGCCCACTGTGCTCAAAACTTGCTGACGTGTTCTGAATCCTTCCTCTTTCTGCTGACTTGATTTGCAGTACTTGCAAATGTTCCCAAAAGCATTTAAAAATGAGCTGAGTTAAAAGAAAGTATTGTGTATTACAATAAAGATAACGGAACATGTGAATTTCCTTCTGCTTGTGTTCGGATATTTGCTTGAAGCTGGGGAAAGCTGTACTATTTTAGCACATACCTAAACAATGAGACTTGTTAGTAATGCTTAAAATAGAACCTTTATCTCTTGGTAAATGCTCATGGGAGGTAGAGGAATTGAATAGTTAAACTTGAAATATCAGTAAGAGTCTGAATCAAAGACTTCTTCAAAACACAGCTGGAGTTAAATAACTGCAGTGAGACCTTTGACTGCAATGCTCCTTTTTTCAAATGGCTCAGCTAATTAAATAAAAATTTAAAAATTTTTAAAAAGACAGTGATCTATTATTGCTGGGAACTAATAAGGCTTTAAAGAAGAGACCTAGTAACTGTTACTTGGCTTAGTTTATAAGCTTGCCTGTTGTTGAGAACCTTCACAGTATCTTCACTTCTGTATAGAAGGGACAGAAGCTTTTGAAAGCAGCCAGTGAACTATTTTTTCTGTTTTAAGAAAAGGTTTCAGTCACTGATTTTACAGTATTGTCCTTTGATAGCGCATGATGAAGCAAGCTGTTTTTTCCTTGTCAGTAGGATGGCGATACGTTTTGAGCTTGATTGCATGGCATAGCTTCCATCAAAAATGTTTCAAATACCCCAAGATCCAAGGACCTTGCTAATCTGAGCTCTTAAAATTCTGGTATCTTGGAAGGATATAATGCTTTAAATACCTGGGTCCTAAACCTGAAAAAAGGAATTGCTAAACCATGACAAATACTTTGTTGTGAAAGTCAGTAGGGTTCAGAGTATACATACTTTCATCTGCTTATGTTCTTCATTAAGCAATTGGGTTGCAGTATTCTGTATTCCCTCTTCCCTTCTGATCTCACAAAGTCAACATCAGAGTCATTTGAGAAGATGAAAAAATAGGGTTTATACTTGTGACTTTTGCGTATTGCTGGTGGATTGTACAGTAACAGGCAGCTGCAGTTCAATCTCGTGGACTCCTGGGAACTCTACTCTTAGAGACTGCTTGGGGTTTTTTCACTTATGGTAAAGTTCATGTGAAAGCTACTTCCTGATCTAATAATAATATTAATGCTATTAAACACCGTAGCAAGTCCTCAATTATGCAGATCTCAACCAGTAGAGGGACACGGATTAGAATGGTTTCAGTTTTAGTGTCCCCCTTCTGTGAATCTTAGTAGCATCACCTGTTAGTAGCATCTTTGGTCTGCATCTCCCTACCATGATGGTATGGGATGAAGCTTCTGCTCTTGAGTACCATTTTATTAGGAAAATAGTATAACAGGAGATCTTTATTTCCCCTGCTATAAATACAGAAGACTTTATGGCTTGAGCAGCAAAGGAATAGTTTGAAGGCCACAGCAGATAGACAAATATGGCTGAATATCTGCTTTTCCCTCTGGCCATATTGCTTCTAAAAAAGGGAAGAAAAATAAAAAAACAAACAACCCAACTTTCTCCCACTTTAGTGTGAATGTTTTGCTCTGGTTCTTCTAATGTTAATTCAGCTGTCAAAGTAAAGCAAACTGCTCTGGATTCATTGGCTGACTCAACAGGAAAATAGCCTTATGGCAGCAAACTGTAAGTGTGACTTGAAGAAAGCATGTCTTTGGGCAGCTTTCTGCAGAGCTGGCTGTTGACAGAGGAGCTTGGCAGGATCCAGTATAGCAGGATTTCACTGTCATGAGTATCTTCAGTAATGCTGCTTCATGTAGCCGTGTAAAATGTGACGTGTATTGGCTTCCATGGTACAGACCTAAAGGCACCTTTTCTTTGTGCAGCATAAAGATAGCTTTAAGGTAAAGCTTCTTGTTGTTGGCAACTGATATGCTGTCTGTGCCAGTTTAGAGGGGAAGAAAAAAAAACTTAAAAAAAAAAACAAAACAAAACAAAACACCACCAAACAAACAAAAAAACCCAAAACAAAAACCGAAACAAACCACAAAAATCAACAGATGTCTGAAGACTCAGATTTGAAGGGTATCATTGTCCATATTGAAATGGTAGTCATGTGCTTAATTTTTTTTTCTCAATTGAAATAAAACTCAATAAAAGAAGTTTATAGAGTCAAAATAGAAAGCAACCCCCCCAACACGTAATTGCAGCCTGTAGACATAACCTTTTATCGTTGTCTACTTCAGTGTGCCAGTATGCTTTCTCTTGGTTCACTAACATTACATGGCTTCATGCACAGATGGTAGTGTTCACTCCTTCACAGACTGTAAGTTCATAGTGGTAAGTTTTCTGTTGTTTTCTAGGCAGTGAATGTAGTATGAAATCTATGGGAACTGTAGATGCATATGGCACGGGAAATCTACCCTGCTTCTGCACCAGTGGGTGAGCAGGAAGGAGGAGAGACTTCCATGCTATTAAGATTCTTTATTATATATTTAGCTGCCTATTACATATATCTGAAATTATTAAAAAAATACAGCTTGGAGCTTTTTTGGTAAGGACAAGGAATTAGGGATATCTTATTTAAGCTTTACTTTTTGCAGTGCTGTTCTGGCTGAACTTGCCCATCATAAAGGAATACACACTGATCTGATAGACTGGTTATTCTGGGCCCAGAATGCAGAGGCTAAGGAGCTTATATAGCCTTTTATGCAGCAGCATCTATCAAAATTTTGTTACCCTGATTGAACTCTCTAGCATTCAGGCTTGCTTCATTGGGTTGATACTCTTATCTCCTGATTTGGGGTAGGGAGAGAATGTTTGGCAAATTCTTTGTTTATATATCCCCCTTGTCTTCAGGAACAGCGGTCTGCCTGATGAGCTGTAAGCTGCTCTACTGTTCCATGTAGCTTTTATAAGCTTCCAAAATACAGCAATACCGCAACATAAGGCCAAACCTATTTAGGTTGTGTTTTTTTTTCTAAAACTGAAACACTTGTGAATACTTCCATTTCACAAACACTTTAAAGCTCTCCCGGTAATCATATTTCATGTGGGTTTTTTTCAAGGCTTTGGGATATACCTCTATCATTCTGTCCATCTGAAAGGACTTGCTCTTTTTATTTTGTTGCTACTGAGTTTTCTACTGTGGTACATTTCAGGAAGCATATTAAGACCTTTTACTGTGATAAAGGTTTGATAATTGATTTAACAAGAGAACAAGTGTATGGAAGACATAGCTGCTCTTAACAGAAGCAGGAAAATCAAAATGGAGCAAGCACGTATGTACTGCCTCTTAGCAAGAAAATACTTTTAAGGACATAGGGTAATTCAGGGACTAGATGACAGCATTATTTCATGACAGGATATAGATAAAGGTAAATGGAATTAACACTAAATTCATCAGGTTTTGGTGGATTTTTTTTTTCCTTACAAATGAATTTCAGATTTAAATAAATATTTTAAACTAGTATCATGTGAAAGTCTTGTTTATTCAGTGACAGCTCAGCTTTTTCAGAAGGGAAGAGCTACAAGCTACCTGTGTTTTAGTACTGGGCATATTCTTTTTAAAAACCCAGGAGTTTTTTTGATTGTCTGATATCTGATGACAGTGATTTGTGGTAACTTTCATGTATTTAGCACAAAATGATGTGAAGGCTTATGGTCCTTTAAGTCAGAGATAATTGGATATATTTAGCATTTTGCTCACTGTAGAGTGAATAAAAGCTGGAATGATACATTTAAAATTTGTGAAATTCAAGTACTGCAATAGTCGAACCCTCAGTTTGTCCCTTAAATAGCGTGATACATAGTGAATCAAATGTCAATCTTAATTGTCAGGTACAATTGTAAGTCTTGTAAGATATAATGAGGTACCTCAGTGGAATTGAGGAGTGGGAGGAACCATATACAGGAACAATATAGGCTTAATAATTCATTGTTTCCTTGCTTTCCAGGCGACAAGGCTCTGGATGGTTACAGTAAGAAAAAATATGTCTGCAAACTGCTTTTCATCTTTCTCCTGGGGCATGACATTGACTTTGGTCACATGGAGGCTGTAAACCTGCTCAGTTCCAATAGATACACAGAGAAACAAATTGTGAGTACTCAGTCTGTAAAAGAAAAGCTGGTTTAAAGCCTTATTTTGGATCTAGCAGCTCTTCTGAAATTTAAACACCTTTGTGCACAGGGAATCTTCTAATTGTAAAAGCTAAAGTGTGCACTCTGGGTAAAATTATTACTCTTGTTAAGAATCTGCCTTGACTCTTGCATTCAAAGGTAAGTAACCTTTTAATTTTCAGAATGTCTCTTTAAACCTTCCTAGGTAAGGTTGTGTTTATCAGGTACGTGTAACTTACTAGTGGCTGCATAATAAAGCAAAGTCTTGATTTGCTCCCATTCACCTAAAAGGATCTTTCGAGTATGTGCTGAAATATTGAAACACTTAAAAGCTGATAAATTAAGGTAATGCTAAACTAACTGTTTTTTTTTTTTACTGCAATCTTTCTAGACTTTGCTCTGCTATCTAAAATATCTATTTCTGCCCATATGTTTGCTATTGGAGGAGAACTGTATGTCTCAAAGAATTACTTGTGGCATTAACAGAAAACATAAATTATGTCAGCTAAAATCAATTTTAATTTTTGTTTTTTCTGAATCACAGGGATATCTCTTCATCTCTGTACTAGTGAACTCTAACAGTGAGCTGATTCGTTTAATAAACAACGCGATCAAGAACGATCTGGCCAGCCGAAACCCCACCTTCATGGGGCTTGCTCTGCATTGTATTGCTAATGTGGGTAGCCGGGAGATGGCAGAAGCATTTGCTGGAGAAATTCCAAAAATACTTGTAGCTGGGTAGGTATGACATGCCTCCTTCAAATACAACATTGATAAACCTTTGCAGCAACCAAGTTCCATTGTAGCAGCTTGATCCATGCTTAAAGCTATACAGCCTTGGGCTTGCAGTACAGATAGTGACAATTTCCAGTAACTGCGGATACTTTGATACATCTGAGCATGGAGTTGCTTGTGTAAGTGCACAAATACAACACGGAAATTAAGACTACGTCAGTATCTTCCGTATGCTTCAAGAGCTTTGTTGTCATCCAATTTCTGTTCTGTATAACTGTGTGGCAGCGAACACCCCTGAAGTGTGTATGTTTTACTTTCCTTGTATCTCCTGATGAAAAGAAGAAATAAATGAGCCTAAATATATATGTACGCTACAAATCTTGTTATAAACTGAAGCTCTCATTTAAATGGTTCTGACTTTATAAGAAATGTGAGAATATTCTGTTGTGTGAGCTTTTTTGCTGCTTCTGCTAGCCATGTAAACAAGCAGACCTGGCAGACATCTGGAACTGTAGTTAAGTAAATCTAAAATGAAACTTGTGCTTGTAGGGCTAGTTTATTTTGAAACTTTAAATGTCCAAGTGCAAACAGTGCATTTAAACTCTCTTATGAATATGAAATATTTTGGAATATGCATGGATCTTGTTTTATAACAAACTGATGTCTTGCATTAATATAAAAACACATTGCGCAAGAACTGTATTAATACCCTAAATGTCAAGCATTGCAGCTTGCAAATGTTGGAAATGTGCTTGCTTATGCAACACTAATTCTGACTGTCTGTTATGCGTACTGTCTGAGTTGGCGACAAGAGGAAGGGTGTGAGATGATATCTAATTGTGGCAATAGTCTTAGGAGATACTTCTGAGCTCTTGAAACAGTGTTTCTATAATGCCCCGCTTGAGAACTGTTCCTATATTGCAGAGCTGAAATGTAGCATGAGCCAGAAAGAGAAGAATGAGCAGCTAACACCTGATGCTCAGCACAGGCCTGGTCTGGTGGAAGAAATGGGGCAGAAGCTATCCCATAATTGCACCTTTCTCAGACAGGGAGTTCCCTGTGTAAGGGCACATGTTTAGAGATAGAAAATTGGTAAACAGGTAGACTGAAGTTTTACTGAGAATGTGGAGGTTTCTGAATATCTGACCAAGATTTCACAGTATAAACTACCTCAAAACTTTCCTTACTGATGCTCTGTGCATTTTTCAGGCTGTTGTTTGTACAACACACAAAGTGCTTAGTTGACTACTTTGTGAAAGGGAGTTCACTGAGCTAGAATAGTAGCATGCTGCTCTTAAAATAGTCAGTTTCTGTGCCAGCAGCCTGGATGGCAAGGTGAATAGATTTGTGGGTTGCGTGCTTGATGATAGCTAGCTGACTTACATGCTAGCTGTAGGTACTGAAACTGTTGAGTAGTTAATGATTTATATTTGATGGGTCCTGCATTTCAGGAGATGCAGCTTTGGGTGCATGCATAATATAGTGTATGTTAACTGTTTGACTTGAGTCAGCTTAGAAGCAGCTTGCTCTCATCATTTGATGAGCCTGTGCTCATCTAATGAACTTTCAATTCTGATAAAACAATGTGAAATGTCACTTTAAGTTGCAAACTATCATTATAGAGACTACTAGACATATGGTTGAAAACTTGACTAGTTAAACTTGCTGGACAAAATTAACAACAACAACTATTGTAACATAAGAAGAATTTAGTGAACTTCTGTTTCAGCTTCTGTTGAAAAGCTGCTACCTGGCTAGGGATGCTGAGTCAGTGCAATGGCTAGCATGATGCTGGCCTGCAAGTATTGCTGTGACTTCACCACTGTATTTTAAATCCATATTTATGTCTTGCAGAGATACTATGGATAGTGTGAAGCAGAGCGCTGCCCTTTGCTTGCTGCGTTTATATAGAACTTCTCCTGACCTTGTCCCCATGGGAGACTGGACGTCTAGAGTGGTGCACCTCCTTAATGACCAGCACTTGGTAAATCAGTGTCATTGTGCTTCTTGGGCCTACTCTGTCTAGGGAATGACGTCACTTCTGCTGTTAAATACACTGTTAATTTATTTCTTCTTGAGTCTTTCAAGCAAGTGGGTTGCTGTTTTCTTCAGTCTTGGGGAAGGAAATAGAAGGGGTTGTTGTCCTTTATTTAACTGCTGTATATATTAATTTTTAATAAAGCTATGTTTACATTTTGGAGAGGTAAGTATGGTGTGCACAAATTGTTCTTCTGCTCTGGCTGTGCATAAATTAATCTTGTGTCTTGTGATCCTAAAGCATGTTGTATTGGTGTAATACTAATTTTCCAAGGCCTTTTAAGATTAGACCTGCACTGAAAATGCAGGACCTGCTTTGTCAGTGCTTGGACTTCCTTGTCTTGTGGTGTCCATGTTGTCATTCTTATTTTGCTGGTTCTGAAAAACCTATTGCTCTAGATAAGAGATTTGATTTTTTTTTTTTTTTTTTTTTTTTTTCCCCCCCTGCCTTTATGAAGTCAAGGCTGTTGAAGACCTGTGTTTCAGCAGTAATAAGAGTGTTGGTCTGTAGTAATATAAAATGTTTGAGTTGTACAAAGCCCTCTCTTCATGTTGGGTTGTCAGAATTCTTTCCTGGATGTTATGCTGAATCTTATGTCTTCTACTCATGCTTCTCTTGTGTAATAAGACAACTTGCACCCGGGCTTTTTTTTTAATATAACGCTCTTATTTTAGATGTACTATCCAAACATGAGACAAAGTTAATATAAAAATAGCATGAAATGTTCTGCAAGCATAGCAGTATTGTGGAATCATAGAATTGGTTTGGTTTGGAAGGGACCTTAAAGATCACCTAGTTCCAACTACCACGGGCAGGAACCCGTGCTCCCAGCCCCGTCCAACCTGGCCTTGAACCCTTCCAGGGAGGGGGCAGCCACAGCTGCTCTGGGCACCCTGGGCCAGCGCCTCACCCCCCGCACAGGGAAGGATTTCTTCTCCGTATCCAATCTAAATCTCCCCTCTTTCAGCTTAAAACCATCACCCCTCATCCTATCCCTACACCCCCCTGATCCAGAGTCCCTCCCTGCCTTTAAGCCCTGGGAGGCCACTCGAAGGTCTCCCCGGAGCCTTCTCTTCTCCAGGCTGAACCCCCCCAACTCTCTCAGCCCGGCCTCCCAGGGGAGCTGCTCCAGCCCCCCCAGCATCTCCGTGGCCTCCTCTGGCCCCGCTCGAGCAGCTCCGGGTCCTTCTGCTGTTGGGGGCCCCCGAGCTGGCCCCAGCACTGCAGGGGGGTCTCCCCAGAGCGGAGCAGAGGGGGAGAATCCCCTCCCTGGCCCTGCTGCCCCCCCGCTCTGGCTGCAGCCCCGGGCACGGGTGGGTTCTGGGCTGCGAGCGCACGGGGCTGCCTCACGGGCAGTTTTCCCCCCACCGACCCCCCCAGTCCCTCTCCTTGGGGCTGCTCTCCAGCCACCCCTCGAGGGCCCAGCCTGGGTTTGTGCTGGGGATTGCCCCCACCCACGGGCAGGACCTTGCCCTTGGCCTTGTTGAACCCCACGAGGTTTGCCCGGGCCCCCCTCTCCAGCCTGCCCAGGTCCCTCTGGATGCCACCCCTGCCCTCAGCGTGCCCCCCACCACCCAGCTCGGTGCTGCCGGGGAACTCGCTGAGGGTGCATCGATCCCACTCTCCCTGTCACCACAAAGATGTTGAGCAGTGCCGGGCCCAGCCCCGACCTTGAGGAACGCCACTCGTCACCGCTCTGCACTTGGACATGGAGCCACTGACCACAGATCTCTGAGTGTGAGCACCCAGCCAATTCCTCATCCACAGAGTGCTCCATCCACCAGATCCATGTCTCTCCAATTTAGAGACAAGGATGTTGTGCAGGACAGTGTCAGATGCTTTGCACAGGTCCAGGTAGATGATGTCAGTCGCTCTTCCCTTACCCACCAACGCTGTAACCCCGTCGTAGAAGGCCACCAAATTTGTCAGGCACGATTTGCCCTTAGTGAAGCCATGTTGGCTGTCACCAATCACCTCCTTACCTTCCATGAGCCCTGGCTCAGTTTCCAGGAGGATCCACTCCATGATCTTGCCAGGCACAGAGGTGAGACTGACTGGCCTTGGTAGTTCCCCGAGTCCTCTTTATTTCCCTTTTTAAAGACGGGGGTTATGATTCCCCTTTTCCAGTCAGGGGGAAGTTAGCCAGACTGCCACAACTTCTCAAATACGATGGACAGTGGCTTAGCCGCTTCATCCGCTGGTTCCCTTAGGACCCACAGGCGCATCTCATCTGGTCCCATGGACTTGTGCACCTTCAGGTTTGATGCTCTCGAACCTGATCTTCTCCTACAGTGGGCAGTTCTTCATTCTCCCAGTCCCCACCTTTATCTTCTGGGTCTTGGGCAGTGTGGCTGGAGCCCGTGCCAGTGAAGACTGAGGCAAAAAACTCGTTGAGTACCTCAGCCTTCTCCGTATCTCGGGTAACCGGGTCTTCCATTTCCTTCTGGAGAGGGCCCGCATATTCCTTAGTCTTCCTGTTATCACTAGTGTGCCTGTAGAAATTTTTCTTGTTGCTTTTGATGTTTCTGGCCAGATTTAATTCTGACAGGGCTTTGTCTTTGCTAACCCGATCCCTGGCTAACTGGGCAGTTTTTCTTTATTCTTCCCAGGCTACCTGTCCTTGCTTCCACTTTCTGTCGGCTTCCTTTTTGTGTTTGAGCTTGTCCAGGAGCGACTTGTTCATCCATGCAGCCTCCTGATGTTCTTACTTAACTTCCTCTTTGTTGGGATGCATCACTCCTGACCTTGGAGGAGTTGATCCTTGGATATTAACCAGCTTTCTTGGGCCCCTCTTCCCTCTGGGGCTTTATCCCATGGTACTCTGCCAGGCAGAATATCAAGTTGTTGAAAATCCTGTTGGATTTTGAAAACGTGTAATTAGTCTAGCTGCTAGACAAATAAAGGGCTTTTTAATGTGGGACTTTTTCATGGGGATAAACTTAGTTTTGTTGTATATTAAAAAAATACTTGAAGTGAAAGGTGTTAATGGGTAGCATCTTAAACTGTTACCAAATTGAATGTATTGCTTTGTTGTTTTTCTAGGGTGTGGTTACTGCAGCTACAAGTCTGATCACCACTTTGGCACAGAAGAACCCAGAAGAGTTTAAAACTTCAGTCTCCTTGGCAGTGTCTAGATTAAGCAGAGTGAGTCCGATGATAACCTGATAAAACTTCACTGTTGCTTAATTTACTCAGCTCTCGAGGTCAGATGAGCGTACCATTAAAAGAGAAGATGATTCAGTTTCACTTCATGTAGCTTGTTCAGCTAACCTCTTCTAAAACTCAGTTTATCATGCCAGAAAACTGTATTGGCTTGCCCAAACTTTCTTGGTGTAATCCTTGCTGTGCGCCAAGTCTGTGTAGCAAAAAGGTGTCTGTCTCTCTCAGCTACTTGTGTTTGAAAGGGTCCTCAAGAGGCTGTGGAGTTTTTAATCCTCATTTTATGTTACTATAACACCAAAGAGTAGTTGCATCAAAGACTGAATCTGCAAACTTTTGCACAGAACCCTCAAAAATACAACTCGTACTTCTGACTTCATCTAAGCTTTTTACAAGATGAGGCTTCTTCCTATTCCTTCTTTTGAGCTGCTGCTAGATTAATTATCATAAATATTTGATAATCTGTAAGTGGGTATAGGGTGCCAAGCAGGGGCAGGGGGTGCAGGGAGGAGTGGAGAGACATTTCTGTAAGTTGGCATCTTCATGCTGGAAAACTTACATTCATGTTTTGTTTGATTTTTGTATTTTGGAAGGTATACAAGACATGGGAGGATACTACTTCACAAGTGTACTTTAGACCCAGATTTATGCAGTGCTATACCCAAAATTACTTGTAGTTCAGAGAAATTTAATTTCTTTTCAAATATGAAGACTTTGTCTAGTACTTGAAAGCAGGGGACTGCTGAGGCAATTGCATACCTGTTCTGTAACAGAGCGGCGAGAATTAGCAAATTTGAGCAAAGCTAGTGTCAAACTATGCTTACACCAGAAGCAAAAGTGGAAAATAAATCTGTGAAGAGGGGTACTCCCTCTGAAACCTATCTAATTCTTTGCACGTTTTGCTATGCATATAAACCTCTTCTGTGAAAGCTATCTGTTCTTTGATCTGGAGCATGAATATGACTGAAGGTGTTAGTTGGTTCCTCTGCTTTAGTGCAGTCTGTCATAGTGTCCTGTGCTTGAATGCCAGGTTCAGGTATTGGCAGTCATCTATAATACTATATTTAGGTGTTCTGTTGGCTGAATCTGAATTGCTGAACCAAAGGAAGTCAAGCTTCTAGTTAAATGTTTTGGTGTTACAAGATGGTCATCTCGGTTCTTAAGAAAGCAAGTGTACTTCCAAGAAGAAACTTCCTAGACTGCTGTATCTGTAAAACTGAATTTCTCATACCAAGGAACCTAGACTGATGATACAATCATAGTATGACAATTTGCACCTAATTAAACATTGCTAGCGGCATAGTTTTGTCGTAGGTGACCTACAGTGTTCTTTGGGTGCTTATCCTGATTGTGCATCACTTGTCAGCTAATGAAGTTATGTCATCTGCTTATTTTACAGATTGTAACTTCTGCATCAACAGATCTTCAGGACTATACGTATTATTTTGTTCCTGCTCCTTGGTTATCTGTGAAACTTCTGAGGCTGTTACAGTGCTATCCACCTCCAGGTAATGCACAAATCGCAACAGTGGTCATCTTTTACGCGTTACCCTGTCTCCAAGAGCTACGGCGCTGTAGTGTTACTGTAACTTGGAGTGCAAGCACATTGTCTTAGATAAGGATGCTGAAATCTGTAGTCTTGAGTGTCTATCTAACAATCTAAAATTGTTAAAATTAAAACTAACATCGTTCAAAATGCCATGTAGCTTAGAGCAAAGTGTCAAACCAGGCTGCATCTTACAAACCAGCTGCAACTGCCTTTTTAAGTAGTCTTGAATGTTATCAACTGTATTAAAGCCTTTAAATACATTATAGTGGAGATCATGTTTGGCACTTGTTCTCACCCAGACAGAACTGTAGCTTAGAATTCTTTTGCTAACTGTATATTGGGGGATGGTGAACTGCTTTTAATGTATCAGAATACTTCAGTTTATTCAGATTTAGCAAGGTGGAAGGCCTAAGGTAGGGATTAGGGTGTTGAGCAAAATGAAGTTGTCCAACGGCTTGTTCTTCTCCAGAAGACCCGGCGGTACGTGGTCGTCTAACAGAATGCCTGGAAACTATTCTTAACAAAGCACAGGAGCCACCAAAGTCAAAAAAAGTACAACACTCAAATGCAAAGAATGCTGTGCTGTTTGAGGCAATAAGCTTAATTATACATCATGACAGGTGAGCAGTGAGAATATTTCTATTATGAGAGGATTTTTTTTAACTGAAGAGCCGTGGCTTTGTCTTGAACACCAAATGGAATTCTGCTGGGGTGGGAAGGGTAGGAGAGTAGGAAATGAAGTTGCTTGCTGGATTAGAACACAACCACAGCAATGGAATTGAACAGTATTAATGAACTGTGTTGCTGTCAGCATATTTTTTATTGCTTTGTTTCTTGCTGCTGCTTTTTTTTTTTTTTTGGGGATGTTGTATTGACTCCACCATTCTAATCCAACAGATACGATTTGCTCACAGTATTTGAATTTTCATTTCACCAGCAGGGCATTCCAGCAGACACTTTGAGGCATTTTTAAAAAGTTCAGCTGCAGAAATAGTATTCTGTATTGGTTGTTCTCAAACCTGTTGCTTTTAACCCTTTCACTTTCTCTCCTGTTCTGTGCAGTGAGCCAAATCTACTAGTCCGTGCCTGTAACCAGCTAGGTCAGTTCTTGCAACACCGAGAAACTAATTTGCGTTACCTAGCACTGGAAAGCATGTGCACGCTTGCCAGCTCTGAATTCTCACATGAGGCTGTGAAAACACACATAGAAACAGTTATCAATGCATTGAAGGTAAATTTTTAAGTGTGCAGTCTGTTCTGAGTGTTGTCGTCTCCCCTGCCTCAACGCCCTCTCCCCCCGCTGCCCCAAGCCCCCCATCCCTGATTAAGCTGATAATACTTGGGGACCAAATGAGTTCTTCTCGGGAGCCTGTGTGAGGTTTTTTCTGTAATCCTGCAAAATCTTGCTGTGCTGACAACAACAGAGGTCAGCTTCAGTTTATTTCTACAGTTTAAAATTAAATCTGATGCTTGTAGCTGTGGCCCCTATAGCTCTTTGGTATCTCCTTAAGCTGTAGAGTGAAAATTAATAATTCTTTCAAAATGTGGAATTTCAAAACTGAGAATGCTGAGAAGACTGTGTTTTATTACTGTCTTGCTGGCATCGGACACTGTTTCTTCACTGCAGTAGCTTATGGGGAGCAGTAGAGCAGATCAACTTCCACCGCAGAATCAGAAAGTCAAGAAGCCAGAAAGACACATTCCCAGGCCATGTTTATGTGAAAAAGCAGAAGTTGAAAGAAGATGACTCATTTCATGTAAATTTACTTGCACACTTCAGCGTTTACATGTGTTGCTTTCTTCCAAGCTCATGCTGTAGGATATTAATACACTTGTCTAAAGTACATACCTGTCCTATCTGGGCATCTGTTGATACAAGGCAAGCCCGACACGAAACCTGCAGGTAACTAATTGACTGTTGGCCTCGTGACAATTTGATTTCAGCCAGTTATTAGCTCATTTGTGTCCAGTGGCACCAGTTACCCAGTGCACTGTGGACCACAAACTCATTCACCCCAGTTAGGGTAATAGTGGGGTATTCTGTACGAACACCTCCATCCTTGCAGCACTTGCACAGATTTGAATATGTACACTACAGAAACAAAACCTGACAATTTGTATTTTTGTCATGTTATTTAAAAGCAGGAAGCTGTCTCAGTCTCCAGTGACCTCTTTCTAGGTGCCTGAAAGTGAGAATAACATGAAAAACTCATAGTTTATGTGAAGGGTATATCAGTGTTCATTCTGCATTTGAAAGGTTATGAAAATGCATTTGTTTTAAATTTGACTGTGGATTATAGTAGTTTTATCTCTTCAGTAAGTTGCCTGTGTTTTCCAAATAAAGATGAAGTCATCCTGATCTTTTGCTGTGTGTCTTATTGCAGACTGAGAGAGATGTAAGTGTACGACAAAGAGCTGTAGATCTCCTGTACGCCATGTGTGACCGGAGCAACGCCCAGCAGATTGTGGCTGAAATGCTGAATTACTTGGAGACTGCTGATTATTCCATTAGAGAAGAAATTGTGAGATACTTGTGCTTCTTTATCTTTTTCATAGCTGGTTTTGCCACCATCTGTATCATTTACTGATTGGGATGCTGGATAGTCTCTGATGGAGATTCTTTTTCATAGTGGTTTTAAAAAAAAAAAAAATCAAACCCCACTAAGTTTGTAGTCTAATAGCAAAGAATGTTCTTCATTTAAGTTAAACTAGTGGGGGAGGGGGGGAAAAACAAACCTTAGAAATCAGGAATTTAAAAAACTAATCTTCATCTCAGAGCATTGCGTATAGAAAGTGAAGTGAATTTTATGAGTGCTTGAGGAAATGCCATCTCTAGATGTGAGGGTTATGTCCTACTCTAGTCAGCTGTTTAATAGCTTCAAAAATTAGTGTGATAAATACTTACTTGTAGGTAGAACTTCATACTGTGTATGCTGTGAGAACATTCTCTCAGTCTAAGGATTCTCAAAAACAATATGTTGTAATCAGCTAAAAGACAGCCATGATATCTATCTCCTTCTCAGCAGGAAAAAAATGCAAGAGTTGAAATGCTCACTTAACAACCTTGTTAGAATGGTAGCCAAAACCTGTACTTACAGTAATCACTTAGCTTAGTTAGGTGCCAAAGTTTCTTGGGGAAAAATCGGAGAAGTTAACATAGAATACAGTGTTAGTTGATTTACCTCTTGCACTGTCTTGTTGTTGGCAATCTACCCTTACTTGGCAGATAATATGAATTTCATTCTGATAATTTAGAACTCCTAAAAGATTAAGTCAGTGTAAATGATAAATTATGTGGAGGTCTCTTATGCTGATTCTTTGCTTCAAGATACAGGAATCTTAGCATGACTTTCAAGTCAGCTATATTTTGGTGACTGGTCTGTCTCCGCTGACTTGAGTTTCCACCTTTTTTTTTGAAGAAGTCTCCAATTTCCTACTTGGTCTTGTCTCAGTGATGGTTTAGGTGGTATTTTTATAGCAAACAGAAAATGTTCACTAAATTGCTCTTGATAGCTTAGCTACACCATTGAAAAGCCACAGATGCAACATACTAAAATGCATTATGGGGAAACCATTATGTATCTGGCGACTGGTGTGTTCTGGCGCAGAATTCAGCTGTGGGAGCAAGCTCTGACACATCTGAAACTGAGGCTTCTGGACTACCATGGGGTATCACTGGGGGCATATGAAAGTGAATCGTAATACACAGCTTATAAGTTAGTCAACCTTCTTTATTCTCTTATGTGTGTTCAGGTTCTGAAAGTTGCAATTCTAGCTGAGAAGTATGCAGTGGATTATACCTGGTATGTGGATACCATCTTGAATCTGATTCGCATTGCTGGTGACTATGTCAGTGAAGAAGTGTGGTATCGAGTTATTCAGATTGTCATCAACAGGGATGATGTTCAAGGGTATGCAGCAAAGACTGTTTTTGAGGTGAGACTAACTGTTTTCAATTCACTTTCAAAATGAGGTAGGAATTAAGTAAACACATGATCTAGCAGGTGTGTGCATGCTTCCCCATGTTAGGGAGGAGTAAAAATATGATCCTGAGTAGTTCAACAAAATGCTGCTGAAGCTTTCTGTAAAACTAGCAGCATAGATTTTTCAGAGCCAGAGACTGTATTAAGTTGATGAGAAGCTTCTCTGGCTTAATGTAGAATGCACCTGGTACCATTCTGGTTTTGGTGAGGGAGGGTAAGGTGGGTTACGCTGGCTTTTTGATACTTTGGTAGGTGGCATAGAATGGATGGTTTAGTAAGGAAATTACAGTACCTGGAAAATTACTGAAATGTAGTAAAAATAGAAGCCTTTTACAGGGTGGCTTGCTGCTTTTTTGAGTATTCTGCATGCATCCAAAACACTCAAAATGATAGCTTGATGATCCTTTTGGAAGCATATATCCATTCTGATAAAACTGGAATTTGAACTCTTAAAGGAGAGCACTTTCAAATATCTGGCCTTGTTGCTCTGGCTTTGTTTGGATTCTTCAAGTTGCCTTTCCACTTTTTTTTGTTTCCTTTCCTGAATATTTAAGCTGACTTTCAGAACTCATTGCTGCTATGTTTTTCTTCATCCTCAGTAAAGACAGTATTTTTATCTTGGACAACTTCATCATGTTCTTTCAAGGTTTGAATTAAGTATATTAATACCCTTCTGACACCCCTAAAGACATAAGGGGAAACCTAATCAGCTGTGACTGTCCTCAGAAGTCCACAGTGCTGCTAGATGAGCCTAAGAGTGCTCATAACTAAGTAATACTTACGCTGGAGGGTCTTCTATTAAGTCATAGCACCTATCATGCTTTTCTTGTAAGTGCTCTGTAGTGCCTAGACCTATGGCCTGCTCTTACAGGAAAGTAGACTAGGAAACTGGATGCTGTGGAAGTGACAGAAAAGATTGATCTTTTGGATACGCTCCGGATTGATGACTACTTGATGTGTACTTACAGGCCCTTCAAGCTCCAGCGTGCCATGAGAATCTTGTAAAAGTAGGTGGCTACATCTTGGGAGAGTTTGGAAATCTGATAGCAGGTGATCCAAGATCAAGGTAAAATACTTTCTAAAATACTGAACTGTAGTAGTAATACTTTCTGTAAAGAATCTAATGCCTATTTAATACTCCTAAAGGCCAGTTAAGGAATGAATCAGCTCTTGCTAGTAATTCATTAAGAATTATGTCTACAAAAACTGAACAAATTCTTTTTCTTCTCATCATTTAAGTCCCCTCATCCAGTTCAACTTGCTACATTCCAAGTTTCATCTGTGTAGTGTTCCTACCCGAGCTCTGCTTCTGTCTACCTACATCAAGTTTGTGAACCTGTTTCCAGAAATCAAAACTACAATTCAAGATGTATTGCGCAGTGACAGTCAGCTTAAGAATGCTGATGTTGAGCTGCAGCAGCGAGCTGTTGAGTATTTGAGGCTCAGTACTATTGCCAGTACTGATATATTGGTAGGTATAACAATGATTTGTTTTTATTATGTGGAACTCTTTAGCTGTGTCTTCTGTCAACAAGTAAACTCCACTACACCTTACCTGATTGCTCAGAGATCTTAATGCAGGATTAAGGATCCGCAATGTGGGCACTCATTCTTTTAGTCTACCTAATTCAGCTGCAGTCGTCTTTAATTTAGAGCTAAAATCCAAGTTGTTACTGCTTTAGTGGGACAAATGACTGTTAAAGCATGCTAATCTGGAGCTGGGAAGCCATTGGAAGCTGATGTGGTATGGGGTCCTACAGTACTCAGAAACCAAAAAGCTAGAGTTTTGTTTTGAGGCCTTGATGGTGGGCAGGAAACTTGTAATTCTGCTAATTTTTTTTTGTTTTTATTTTTTTTTGTCACTAGAAGTTCACTGTGCTTTAACCTGATGCTTTCACGTCTGGCCAGAGCATGGCACGCGTAGTCATCATGACAACTAATAAATGCTTATCTGACTAGATCCTTGGGTAATCTTCTGTGGTTTCAGTCTAGGTCTGTTTGACTTAAAGACCGTTATGTCTGCTGTGATCTAATTTTGGTTTTTAATTCAATAGCACTCTATCAGAGAAGTGATATGCTTCAGTTCTCTTACTAGTTTCAAAAAGCTTTAAATATTTTTTTTTTATACATATAAAAAGCAGGTCTACTCCATCACTGTACAATAAACTGCATAGTCATCTTCTATGTGGATAATCACTTCTGCTTTTGCCTTATGCAATCCGTAAGGGTGTATCTCTTCAAAGACTCAGAAGCTGGTTTGGCTTTTTCTGTAAGTTTAATACACTTTTTTTTCCCTGTGACAAGGCTACGGTGCTGGAAGAAATGCCCCCCTTTCCAGAGAGGGAATCTTCTATTTTGGCTAAGCTCAAGAAGAAGAAAGGCCCAGGCACAGTTACTGACCTGGAAGAGATCAAAAAGGAGAGGAGCTCTGATATGAACGGAAGCGCTGAACCTGCCTCTGTCAATGCCAGTGCTGTTGTGAGTTTAAAAGCTGTTACTTCACTCATTTAGATGGCATGCAGGTGAAAAACAGAATGGTTTCCTTAAAGTGGCTTTTTAGGGTTTAGAACTTCTCATCTCAGATCTAAGACTGTGGGTATTTGCTATAAAGTAGCAGGGAAACATACAGCTGCTTTCCCCCCACCACGTGCTTGGTTGCAATTGTTCCTTTGGGAACAAACTGACTTCAGCCTAAAATAAATCCCTTTTACATTGTTACTTTGAAAAATATTGCTGTAAAGTTAGAAATGGGAATTTTCTTACTGGTGAAATTGCAGTGAAGGTGAGATAAAACTAATATATTTAAAAGAAAGAACTTCAATTTCAAATTTTCAGCCGTTGTTCTGCTTTGTCTAACATGGTAGATATTTTGCATCTTGTTTCAGGTTGTTGTTGTTTTTGCTAGAAGTGGACAACACTTAAGGTGGCTATCCTTAAATCAATATAATGTTTATTAACTCTTTATTTGACAGTACTATTTGAGTTCAGTTATGGTAGATAAGGCCGCAGTCTCGTTTCTTCTGAGTTGAAAGTTATCATTTTATTGTCAGTTAAAGCTGGTAGGATGAATTGTTCCCATTATGTAACACTTGTTTCTGGTTTTAATGACTATCATAACTTGTAATTACATCTGAGATGTAGTAGTAGATTACCTAAGAGGAGGAAATATTGTAGCATACTCCCTGCCCAGTTTGTTGAACCATAATCCTTTAACTCTTAGTCATTGCAGTATGTATGAGTAGACGTTCCAAGCGAAACATCTTTGAATGGACAGAAATACCTTTCCAGCAGAAAAGCTGCCAAGTTTTTGCATGCCAAATTGTCTGAGGTGACTGGCAGTTAAAATTGTTACATGCATATGAGCTTTGCTTTATGGGTTGCAGCCGTGTAAGAAACTCAGCTATGCTGCCTTCGTCAGTGCCTTTGGTGTGACTGTGGCTTTGATGCCAAGACTGTGTTCCAAATTGGAGTTTCAGCTGTTGGTTTTCAGTAGTTCTTACCAATTGGCTTCTGAAAAATTTTTCCAGGAAATTTTTCATTACACTGCATCAAATTCAGTTTTTGAAATATATGATAACTTTGCGTTGGTTTACAAAAACAGAATTTCAGGCTCAATCCAAATGCATCTCATGATTCATCTTCAGCCTGCCTGGCACATTGTCAGCTGCTAATGTCTAATACGTGAACTTTTCATTTAACAGCCTATGCTTTGTTCTTGCACGTGACTTGGGCACATATATACGACCTCCGTTGCCTGATTCTGTGTCCTGGCTACTTAATTTGTTCTATTGGAGAAAAAAAAAATTTCAAAGGTCCTGCCTCTACCTTTAGTGTTTGCAGCTTGAACTAGCTACGGGCTCTGCTTTTTTGCTGGTTAGGTTTTACATTGTTTCTAAGGTTTGCCAAGCTTCAGAAACCCAGGACTAAACTGATAGTCAATTTTAAAGATGCTGTGATGTTTTAATTTAGATTTGTGTAGAAGCCACTGCATTTCTTGCTGGATTCTTCGTGAAAGGAAAACACCTTTGTATTTTGTTCCCTACAGTAATTAATTTCTCTTGAAGCTAAGAGGGGAGAAGAGAAGGGGGAAAAACATTGTCATCTTTCTTCTGCAGAATCAGATTCTAGACAGATCAATTTTGGTTTTTTTATTTAATGGTTAGATGGACATAACTCTTCAAAGGAAAAAAAGAAAAACACATCTATAAATGAGCTTAAGTTGAAATGCAAGGTGGTAACTGCATTCGTGAAGCCTACTACGTCCATTCAAAGCCTGGTTTGCGGTGGGGAGAGACGCTTTGCTGTAGCTTAGTTGTCTGTGCAAGAGAGACAGCTTTGTTTTAGTTTTGCTGTCGTGTAACTCCGAAGTGTCTTGTCTTCCCTAGTCAACTCCTTCTCCATCTGCGGATCTGCTGGGTCTGGGCGCTGCCCCTCTCACCAATTCAGCTCCCCCACCGTCCTCTAGTGGTAGCCTGCTGGTGGATGTATTTTCAGATTCAGCTTCTGCAGTTGCACCTCTTGCTCCTGGTTCTGATGACAACTTTGCGAGGTAATTAAGTCACCCTGTAAGGAATCTGAAGAGGAATTTGTCTGCTAAAACAGGATTAGAGAAAAAAATACCTACAATGGTTTTGGTTTTGTTCCAGCTTATTTGAATGCATTCCTGGGTGGTAGTTGTGCAGCGAGAGGTGTTCTTGAACTCTATGCTGGATGTGCTATCTGTACTGAATACTTCTGCTCATGGAAAAACTGTAGTAATCAACATTAGGATATTAGCCACACAGTATTGCCTAGTTTTCATGCTGGTTTTGCTTCTTTGTTAAACTAGAGCTTCTTGTGCATCTCAGTGCATCTTGAATTTGGGGGTTTTCTGGCCTGATATGAATATGTTTATTCTTCTCTTATTTCCATTAAGTATTCTTGTGTCTCTCCACTTATGGCAAGCTGATACTGAAACAGTGAAATGGATTATATCCAGAGGTACTGGTTCTCAGAATTTCAAGATAAACTTAAATTGTTCTGTTACTGTCTGACAAACAGGTGTGAAAAGGGGGGGGAAAAAAAAACCACAAGTGCTTTGCTTTTTTTTTTTTAAGGGAATTGGATGCCAGTATCTTTCTAATTACATTACCAAGTGTAGTGAAGGTGTAATATGTTCTTAATCCCATTAACATTAAAAGCCTCTGTGGCTACACTCAAATGTTATTTGGCTAAAATTTTGGAAATAAATAGCACAAGATCACAGAATGTCTTTAAGAATCTGTCATCTTATTGGCCAAAAATGTGTTACTGTTGTCAAGGACCAAATTTTGAATGATGGCATGACAGATTTGCCATGCATCTTAATATAAAAGACATAATTAGTGAAACTAATCTGCCTGGATCATTGAGACTTTCATCAAAATTTTATCCTAGGCAATGCATTGTTGCAGGTTTGCAGTGATTAATACTTGAATCCTGTATTTCTCTTAGAATGCAGTAAGTGATGTTTAATCATGCTACACAATAGCAAGACTTTAAGAAGCTACACAAGCTTGTTGGAGGTTTTGGGTTTTTTTTCCTCTTCTAAAGAAACCAATGCTAATAGCTTCATAAGCAAAAGTTACCTAAAAAGAGTTTTCTCTTTCTGCAGAAGAAAGTATAGCTTTGCCCAACCCCTTGGTCTCTCTGTAGATGATGAAATGCTTCTCTAATGTTACTGAGAAGTTGCCTTTTACAGTTTCCTGCTTCTTTTTAGTGCTGTTGTCACTTTTGTTTCTAATCTGATACTTGGGGTAAGTCATTCTCTGTGTGCCCGTATACTCTTGCCTACACTTGTGTGTTTTTAAGAACAGACTGTGCAGCTGTAATTAGAAGTGCCACTACGGTGGTTGAGGCCTCCGCTTCAATGTGCGCATTTGTAGTAGTTAATATACATCTACATTTATGGGTATGAACGAAAACTTCTTTGCTGTCACAGTTAAACACCTGAAAGGACTTGGTTCTTTGAGGTGTAAACTTAAGCTACTGAACACCTTCAGCTGTCTTCTGTCTTGGGGGAGAATTGCTGGTTCCTAACAATCAGGGAGGGGTGGGGTGGGGGAGAGAAGCGGGGGAAAACCATTGCCTAATGCCTAAAACCTTTGTAGGTGTACTGAGCTAGGGCAGCTAATAAATTTTTCATGCATTAAACTCAGCAGTGCCATTTTTGAGGAAGGAGGTAAAAGAAATAACTAAGCACTAAGCTGTCTTTACTAACTCCTGCTATCTCTGTCGCTACTGCCTTTCTTCCTTTGTGCTGCCTGAACTAGCCCTGACCTGGCTTCATCTGAGGTAGTTTCTGAGGAACCAGCTGATACTGTGCATGATGCTGATGAGCTTTTTCACAAGTAAGCAATACTAAAACCTTGCAAGGCTGGGCAACTTCCAGAATATAGTTATAAAGCAAAACTATATTGTGCATTAACTTTAATACCAGCAAAACTAGAGAAACATGTACTGTCAGACTTGTGACTAGAACACCTCTGTAGATGCTGTGGATTTTATGACAAGCTCATGAATGAATACACGGGTTAGTCGCCTTTACGAGTCAGTGTTATCACACACTGCTCTAAAATGAGGCAATACCAGTTGTATATTAAGTTTTGCAACTATTCACAAATAAAGGAGAACCATGAAAGAGTTAATTGTCAAAAGTACTGATATTTGGGAGTATGTTTTAAGTGCCTTGTATGCAAAAAGCTGATGTTTGCTGACCACCTCATCTATTTTAAATGAAGGGTGACAGAAAGGACTGAAATCACTGCAGAATGGGCTTCCTCTCTCAAAATGGAGAAAAAAAAAAATAAAATACAGCTCTCAGTTGACTTATGTGATAAAACAAGGGATTCTTTTTTCTTTCAGGTTTAAACAGTCAAAGCCTCAAACTTTTCAATTCTACACCAGCCTAATGAGTTTCAGAAGTTGTCAAGAATATGAATAAGAAAAATCCTAGTCTCTTGCATGGTCCTTTATAGACAGTGTGTGTATGTATAGCATATTGTGGCTTCCTTCATAGTTTCTCAGGCATCTTATCAAATAAAAAATTCAGTTCTTTTAGTGTCCTACAAGTGGTGGTTTCGGTTGTAAAATTGTCTTTTCTAACTCTGCAGTTTTCTGCAAAGGCCTCTCTCACAGACTGATGCACTCTAGGTTAACCACAATCTTCATCCTCTGTGTAAACCCTGAATTTTGTCGTTCTAAATATTGTTTAATATGGCTCAATTTAAAACACATTTTCCCTCTCTTCCCCTAGGTTTGTGTGTAAAAATAATGGAGTCTTATTTGAAAATCAGTTGCTACAAATTGGATTGAAATCTGAATTTCGACAGAACCTGGGTAAGCTCTTCCAGGCCAAGTGGTTAGCTGTCTGCATTATCAACCCCAGTGCTGGTGCAATATTGCAGATAGGACTTACTTTTCATCTGCTTAAGAGGGAAATGTGATTTCAGGTGTAACCCATTTGTGTGTTCCTGGCTTCTGTGGGGGTTCTTGTTCCCTTAAACTTCTGGGTTGTTTTGGTAGCTGAGATGAAATGGGAGTGCTAAGTGGTACTGTAAGCTCCAGCTCTTGCTGCCTAGCTGCAAGAGGACCATTCTCCTCAATTTTTGTATTTTACAGTATAGCTTATTGTAATAATATTATACACAGTATGTGTCAGGCATGTCTAGCATAATGCATGAATGCACAAGATACAGGAAACATCTAGGCAAAAGCTGGGAATCAAACACAGGCCAGCACTAGGATTGCTTGCTTCTCCCCTTCTGCATCACTTTTGGTACCACGATAGCTTCCTTGCATAAAAAGTGATGTTCTCTGGCAACTGAAAGACTTCCACTGATTATTTAACTGCCTGTGTGGCAGCTACTGTGGGAGAGGTCTGATGGTTTGTTTTACTCTGTTACTTCATTTTGAACTGTGAATATCTTGTTAAGATAAACCGTGGAAATTATGCTTTGTTTTTAAAAGTTGCTTTAAAGAAAGGTAGAAAGACAAGATAGTTGAAGCACAAATAGTTTAATATGATTACATGTGACGTACCTACGGATTCTGTTGTCTTTTATTCTTTTCTTTCTAGGACGTATGTTCATATTCTATGGTAATAAGACATCAACACAGTTCCTGAATTTTACTCCAACAGTAATCTGCTCAGATGACCTGCAGTCAAATATCCTTAAATGAAGTGTGTTCTTATGCTTTGTGTTTTATACAGCACAAAATGACAATACAGCTGCTGGATCAAGGCATGGTGTCCTTGAACATGAAGAAATGAGAAACTTGCTGATAACTTTCTAAAGTTCTTGTAGAAAGAAAAAGTCTCGGAGAGATGTAACATTCTCTCCTTAAAGCTCTGGTTCCAAACACAAATTTACTGTTGAAATAAGGAGAAATTTGGCTGAATAAATATGTAATGTAACTCTGTAGCTTTCCCCACTGTCATGAAGTAGCAGAGATACAGGTGTGGTGTCCTTCAAGTCCTGTGTTAGCGGATAACCTCAGGCTTGAGATGGAGGTGGAAGAGTACGTGTACACAAAGCTGAGGATACTTTAAAATAAGTTCTTAATTTACAGTTTGTCCTTAACACTTGGTATTGCAAATTTAGGATTTCTGGGAGGCTTGGGTCAAGCTTGCTTGACTCAAAGCATCACTGTAATATTCACATCCAGTGGTGTCTATTATGAAGTCTGTCTGTGCCTTCGTACCTTTATGAGGGCATCTTTCTTTAAGAGTATCTAAATAATTGAGAATTGTGGGGGTTATTGCTTCTAGGTGTGTCAATATGGAAAAAAAAAAACAAAACAACTTTTTTGATGTTCAAGAGAGCTGTGAGTATTCAGTAACATAGAGAGAATGAGTGGACATGATGCTAATTCCTCACATAGATTACTGGAGGATTTGCCTTTTTTTTTTTTAAAGTTGCCACTTCATTGATCAGTTTCCTTAAGCACTTCTTATGCCTGAATCTTCAGACGAAACCTGTTGATCCCACAGTGGATGGAGGTGCACAGGTTCAGCAGGTCGTAAACATCGAATGTGTGTCAGACTTCATGGAAGCTCCAATCCTGAACATTCAATTCAGGTAAAACACAGGATTCGCGTGCTAGTAAATTAATTGGATGAAAGATGTTAACTTTGTCCCGGTCCTCTGACTGAAGAGTAGGATATGGACACATAAAACTGCCTTGGGTAGACAGCTGACTTGAAAAATTGAGCCAACTAAGCTTTAAGTTACTAGGGGAGGTAGGGAATCCCCTTGGAACAATGTAGTTTTTTTAAAAAAAAAAAAAAAAAAACAGCCCAACAAAAAACCTAATCAAGAAGCAGCTACTGATAAAATGTCTCCCTGACTTCTCTTTCTGCTGTCCGTATAAAACAGCAGTCTTCCTGTTTGCTTAAGAGATCTTGACAGGAATATACGCAGTTACGTCTCCCTTCTGGAACCCAAGAACATTTCTGCAAACAACTTGGACTGGAAATGCGTGCAGGCAAAAATAGAATCTTGTTATGTCCACTCAACATCAGCCTTTAGGAAATTCTGATTTCTGGGCTGCGGCGTTCTGATCCCGATTGGCTCTTTCCAGTATGTTTTCACAGGGATGTGTTTTCACACCTTGGGGGCTATCTGGAAGATTAACAACCTGTGGTGAAACTGAGAGATCATTATTAGAAATTCTGCCAATTCACTTTCACTTGACATCTCAGCAGAGCAAATAAATCTATGTAACGATGGATTAAAGCTGTATCTTGGCAATACCATTATCTGCAGTTCATGGATTTTAATCCTACACAATTGCACCTTAGTGTTCATCCTCAGTTGCTCGGTTGATTTAGGCTGAGAGCCTGCTGACGCTGTGCTGCATACACGGTGTTCTTTCCATTCCACACGCAGGTATGGCGGAACATTCCAAAATCTTTCAGTAAAATTACCCATCACACTGAACAAGTTTTTCCAGCCAACAGAGATGTCTTCTCAAGACTTTTTTCAGCGTTGGAAGCAACTGAGCAAGTAAGCCTTTGTCTGTATTTGGGCTTGGGGCTATTGTGGTGGGCCAAGGGAAGCAAAAGGGTATATTGTGAACGCAGCTGGTGCAGTGCCCCATCCTGTGCTTAATCCTGTGAGTTATAAACTCCCAACACAATCCGTTGCTATTGAACAGTGCTGCACCTAATGCACGTTTTGATCTTGCCTTGTCTTGCAGTCCGAAACAAGAAGTACAGAATATCTTTAAAGCAAAACACCCAATGGATGCAGAGATCACAAAAGCAAAGGTGGGTGTTGTGTGGTGTTTTTAACTCGTAGTGTAAGGGTAGTGGTTTAAGCAAATTCTGTTCATCTTGGTTTACACGGCGATTGGATCATCCTGGTTAACTTTGAGTCCGTGTTGTGTATCAGGCCCTTGGCAGTGCTGGGCTGAATGGACTGTTCTCAGCGTGGCTTGAATTAAATACAGTCTTCAATAGCAGCTGGAAACTTGAAGCTATTTAAGAAAACACTAATTCAGTGCTTAAATCTGAATCAGAAGATGCTTCAAGCCTTGCTTTATGCTAGAGTTACTAGTTAGAAAAGAAAACAAGTGACTTTTTGTAGCACTGACAAAACAGAGGTGACTAGTGTAAGACAGGAATGGCTTTATCAAAAAGAAGGGAGAGTTATGTTGAATCTAACTTACTTCTCAGTTGGTTTTGAGAACCTCTTTCAGGAACAGCTTATGATCAGAGTTCTTCTGTCACTTCAAAAATTTGTTGTAATTAGATTGGTATTGGATAATCCTTAATGTCTTGAAAACTTCGAATAAAAATTAGTTTCCTACTTGTTTCTGGTTGGTGGTGGCTGTGCTTGGGTAGACTTGGTATTGGTGTCCCACTGTCCCCACATCTAAATCTCCTGGGTTTCTTTCATAGATAATTGGCTTTGGATCAGCCCTACTTGAGGAGGTAGATCCCAATCCTGCTAACTTTGTCGGTGCTGGTATCATACATACAAAAACTACTCAGATTGGATGCTTGCTGCGCCTCGAACCCAACCTCCAGGCACAGGTACCTGTTGAAGTATCTACAGCTTCAATACAAGTTCTTGTTTGAACTAAATAACTGTGTGTATCTGAAACTCCTTAAGGTAATGATTTAAAATCACTCTTGCAGTAGCTAATTATGGCTACAGACTCCAACAAGAAATGGAATTGGAGCAGCTGCTCCAGGCCCAGTTTGCTAAGCTGCTGCTTTGTAGCAATTCTCTTTCCTGTTGGAAGAGATCATTGTGTTATTCCAGACTGTCCGTGGAGTCTCATCTTCTCTTGAAGGCTGGAAACATTTAATGTTTCTGTTTCGTGCACCTTGGAAAGATTAAGTATAATTCCCTTTGCCATTTTAAATTTATAAAAGAATGATTGGCCAAAAGAGAAAACATAAGCAAATGAACACAATGTTAAGAACGTTCTTCCTCAGGCATTTCAATAGAGATTTTATCAAAGTTAACTCAGGGCTGAAAATAAGTTTTGGGTGGTAAGTCTCCTGTTTTCTGAAGGAGTGGTGGTAGAGAGTCTTTAGACTTTTCTATAACATTTATTCCTTTTAAAGAAAAATTTTGGACGACACTTTGCTGTTAAAGCCTAAAAATATAAGAGCAGTGGTAACTCAACAGGGGTTTGAAGATATTCTCCAGCTGATGATTTGAAAAAGCTGTATCACTCGGTGGCTGGCTGCCTCTGAATGTTTTAACTTGAGGTCTTTTTCCTACCAAATCTTACAAAAAGGTTAAGAGATAACTGGTAGCTTTCGCTAGTTGTCTGTGCGTTTGTTTAATGCCAAACTGTTTCACATGTAAATAAAATTTTATGTTCTTTTTCAGATGTATAGGCTCACACTACGAACAAGTAAAGAAGCTGTATCTCAGAGATTATGTGAATTGCTGTCAGAACAGTTTTAATATTAACCATGTCAGTTTTGGTTTTTCCATTTATATCACTGTCATCATACTGCAAATAAATGTCTTGTACATCACTGTCTGAGTACTGCAATGTTAACCAATGCCAGCTCCCTGCCTTAATAGGACTTGACCCTTGTTTGAAATTAAGATTATAAAATGTACAGTACATGGAAGTGACTTTTTACATTAAAAATGGCTTTTAGTGTGTTACACAAAGGGTGGGAGGGCTGTCTTGTGCTCCTTTTTTTGCAGAGGTCAGGCTTTTAAACTTGTTAAAGGGAAATTGATTTAGAAATGGTAACCAAGGATTTCAACTGGAAATGGCCAGTAACGTTCTGCCTTGGTGCCTTTAACAGGTACTCCCTCTGCCCTGAGCTGAAGGAAACCAAGGTAATGCTGCTCAGTAAGGTGAATTCAGATGTTAATGTAGAGTCAAAACTTCGTGAAGTTGAACATTGCCACAGGTCTTGTAGTGGGTGGAAGGGCAGATTCCAGGATACGTTTGAATCTGATTCACGTGAACATTTATGTTGATTGTCACTGATATTTGTATTTGAAAAATGCCACAGGACCCGAGTCTTAAAGAATGAATCTTGTAATCCTTTACATCTTAATGTTTCCTGATCTTTGTAAAGTGGATTGAATGCCTCAAATGAGGTGAGCTTCTCTGGTAGGTGGTGAGTGAGTACATGCTTGTTCGGTTTGACTAGCAATGAAGTTAAATATTCTGTTCTGTGTTTTTTCTGTTTCCCATCAGACTTTATCACATCATTAGGACTGCAGAGTCTGGTATTGTATAAAAGGAGAAGTGGGAAGAAATGGGCCCTTGAAGGGCTGTAAGGCATGTACTCTTTCAGATGAAAATGTAATTTTAAACAATATTCTTTTCCCCAGTGTACAGAAATGTTAAAGCTCGAGAGGCTGAGTAACTGATATCTGCACAGTTTCTTGTCTGGCGGTGGCAGTAAAAATATCCACCGGGGTGTAGGAGACTTGTGGTGAGGCCAAGAGAAGGCCCAAAAATGTTCAGCTGTTACAGTGGCTTTCGCAACCGAAGCCTTTGCAGCTCGTTCCACATGGGCGAACGCCCTGCAGCTTCCCTGCAGAAGTGAGTGGACGCGACTTCGGCTCACGCTCTCTGAGCCTTGAGCTACAGCAAAGGCTGCTAAGAGAAAGCAGGTGAGGTAGTGCAGTTAGAAACTGCGGGCGGTTGTCGGCGGGTACTACAGGTCACGATGAACTAAGCTGAGGAGTGAACCTCGGATGGAGATCTCCTCAAGGTTATTTAAAGGAAGCCCGGGACTGCTGTCTCACAACACAAACAGCCAGGCGTGCCCGTGAAGGAAAGGTTCTGAGTGATAGTGATGATGTTGAAAATACATTTAAATGAGGCTCCTGTCGTGCTGCCCGGTGCACAGCAGGGGACGGGATTTTACATGATTGAGTGTGCCTTGGCTTTTTTTCCTTCAGTGCTTGGAGTTAAAGTGATGGAACTGGGTTGATTATAATTTGGTTTGGTTGGAGGCTGGCAATTGTACTTGAGTGCGAGTGAAAAATGAGGAACAAAGGTTTGGCTGTGGTGTGTGGATTTGAGGAGGGTTTTTTGTTGTGGTTTTTTTTCCCCAAATGGCTGGTAACTATGGATGTTATGACTGAAAACTTGGCTATAGTCCTGGTCTTTCTGCAAAAGTTCTCTTGGAACAATTGGCCCTTTTATGGCCTTTCAAGTAGCTAATCAAGACTCTTTGATCACAAACATTGTCTTTGAAAATCTTCAGGAGCAGTTCCTGCAGTCAGGTTGGGCAGATGGCAAAGTGCTGATGGACTACCTTGTGTTTTGTCCGTATGTCTCCCTTAGTCCTGTTATCTCAACCGTGCTGTTGGCTGCTACATTAAAAATCTGAAGTGCTGAACTAAAGGGAGTCTTAGCAAAGACAGGGGAGGAGCTTCTATTTAATTTTTCCCAAATCCTGTTGTATATCTGTCCCCCTGAAAATGTTCTACGCCCTCATTAAAGGACACATTGAGACACTGCACTACTTTGATTTACTTTGCTTTGGTTCAAACTGTGCTAAAATGTGCATTAAAAATGTGCAAAGGAGGGGGGTAAGGGAAAGTGTCTTTTCAGTGGTGACTGTGTTAAACTTATGACTGTTCACACTTTGTATTAAATGTCAGCTCAATGAAGCCGTGGGCAGAAAAGTGAACAAATTAAGGAAAAATACTTGATTATTTTTTTTTTCTTTTTTTGTGAATGATGGTTAACTTACCAAAGTGATGTATCCTGTCAAGCAAAGTAATTTCTGCAGTAAACAGTGTTATTGTTTTTAAGTACAGTATTTTCAGGCATTGACATGTGAAAATAACTGAATAGCAAAACAGGTAGCATATGTTCATTCTTGACCTACACTCCAGTATGTAACATTTATGGTGATTGTCTTATTTGTACAAAACAAAGTTCTGTCAAATTAAGTGAAGAATTTTCATATAGGAGACTATATATTAGACTATATTCATCAGAAGAACGTATTAAGACTAAATAAATGATTAGAACAGTAATCAAACTGTCCTTTTTTTTTTTTGTCTGGGGGCATGGAAGTGTAAAGAATACTTGCATGAAATGGTTGTTGTGGAACAACAGTTTATGTGTAATAGTAAATTCTTTTCTGCAAACTACTGGTGGCTTGTGTTCAGTTGAGTCTGCAGATCATTTCTTCCCCAAGGAGTTTGTTTATGGCTTTTTTGTTGGTGTGTTTGGTCACATGTTATGAATAATCTGCTGTAAAAAAAAAAAAAAAAAACCTGATGTAAAATCTCTTTTCCTATTGTGTTTAACAAGAGTACATGCTGCAGTGAACTGGTGTAACTGCGGTATGGTTGGGGCTATGAAGCACACACCTGTATTACACACAGGCAGGACTGGTACAGAAAAAAAGTTGACATCACTACATCGCTGTAAAAGAAGAGCATCTAATCTGCTGAATAACCTCACTCAAGCTTTAAATGTATGCTTCACGTCCTTAATACTTCTCTAAAACTTGCTAAAAGAAAACAAAAATACCTGGGCACTATGAGCTTTTGTGCATTCATCCAACCTTTTCTTAAATGAACTGCAAACGACGACTACTCTCTGCTAGCAGCAGGTAGAAACAGCTTGAGGGAACTGCCTGTGTCCTGTTAGACACACAGGGCCTTTGCTTTCTTGCAGAGAAATGCCCTGCAAATTTCTGCTTTGTCCAGAAGCCACGCCATGTCCGTGTTAGTGACGATTCTAGAAATGTCCCACCACATGAAGGGTGCGTGTAGGAACCTCACAGGTAGGTCTCTGTTCGTGTAGCACCTTGCTTCGACAGCGGCTGCAGATGGGTGACAAGCACAGGCTTCCAAAGCAAAGGGAACAGGTCACCTTACTGTCTTTTTTTTTTTTTTTTTCTCAGTGCAGTAATGGGCTATTCCACAGGTCCTAGTTCAGCTGCAGTGAACCTGACTATTTTCAGTTAAAACAATTGGTCAAATAATGAGAAGTATGTTAGCAAATTCAATTCCTTCTATTTTATTTGAAAGTCAAATTTCTGTTATTGCACAGTATATAGGCCAGTTTGTAGCCTCTGGTTAAATACCACCCTGAGCAAGCCAGATGCTCTGACACGGTCTTCCTTCCTCCTCCCCTTCCCCCCTGCCCATTCTTTTTTTTCCCCCCCTGCAGCCCCCTTCTGATCAGGAATAATTTATTGGTTGACTTCATTGATACTCCAGGTAGCTGCTCGGGAAGCCTGGCTGTAAGGCTAGCCTGTGTTATCAGTACGAGAGAACTCCTGGCAATGAGCTCTCACCGTGGATCCATTCAAATTGTGATCAGTGTTTAATTAAAAAAAAAAAAAAGAAAAATTGGTATCTGAGGCCATTTGGAGGTTTGGCTAGTGTGTGCAGCTGTCAAAGTTACAATCACAGCCACTAAATACAATTATTTCTGTAATGAGCATTTTTCCAGGCTTATCTGGGTCTTTGCATGGCAGTTGGATTTCCTTCTTCAGCAGCTGAAGTGGCCTACAGCAGCCGCAGACTGTGCTGACCATCATCTTCTCAACATTCAACCTGTTTGAAAGAGAGGGAAGGATTTGTATACAACATTTTAGGCTTACAGCTTTTCAAGTATTTGAACATTTTTTTTTTTTTTTTCTTATGGTGGAACATTTAGAGGAAAGAGCACAGCCCCTAGAGTTTAATGGTTCTGTCAACTACAGAACTACAAACAGTGCAGCAGTTGAGTGTTTTAAGTTCTCATGGTGACTGCTGCAGGAGTTCGGGTGTACTAAGCCTCTGCCTTCCATTTTAAGACTGAATTTGCAAAGAGTTTATAGCTATTACGCCTCAGACCTCACTGGAAAACTAAGGATTTTATTTCCCCATTCCTTTTGCACTTACTAAAATCATACAGTAGCTATATACTTAAATTTTTTTACAGCTGTGCACCGGACTACTTAGAGGTTGCACCAGGTCTCTGGTATGATCTGTTAACAAGGATTCCAAATTGTGTGGGTTCCTTTTGCACAGCTCATGGAGGAAGGAAAATCCCTTTCTTCCTCTGAACCCTCAGCACCAGAATCTGGGCTGATGACTGCATAATGCAAACCCTGGGCTCTGAGGTCAGTTAACAAAGTAGTAGTAGACTTGCATGTATCTTGCTGGATTAACAGGAATAAAACACAGATTGGTGAAGTGATATCTTGAATAAGCAAGTGAGACTGAGATTCTCTTCTGATAGTCCTGTTATGCTATTAGAGTGTTGCTTTTCTGACCATGTTCAGCCAACTGTGCTGCTGGACTTGCTCCTATCTTTTTTTCTTTTTTTTTTTTTTTTTTGTCAGTGGGAGGTTGTATACATGCAGGCTAGAATTCAGCTATGGGAACAAGAGAGTTATGGAAAAAAATATTTTTGTAGAAATCTCTGTAAAGGGGAGAAGACTCTGCTTGGTTTCAGTTAAAACTTTTTAAACCACAACTTTCTTTAGTGATTGTGATGAACCTTTATAACTCAAAATCTTCCTCCGGGCTTCACAGCTCTTCTGAAAACTCTCAAGATACAAAGTCAGTCACTTGGTTTTAAAAATGCTGGGGCACACCTGAACTCACTTTGAAGGGATAGCTTTTACCTTCAGGGTTAATTTAAATGAGTTATTGCAAAAGCAAACCCTTTCATTGCTTTCCTGTTCTTGAACATTGTATTTGCTTGGATTGATGGGAATATAACAATTGAATTTTTTTTCCCAGATAACCGTGTACTTTGTAATACTGCTGCAGTGAGTTTAGTTTTTTTGAAGCCTTGATTCTGAGTTGATTGTCTCCTAGTGAGCAAGCAGAACTGCACAGCCTGAGGCAGCACACTTGTAACTATAAATTAAATATCCTTGAATTACACTGTTAGGATAACATTATAAGTCAACTGAAGTGATATTATGTATTCAGGTGAAATAAATTTCTTATTTTGCTGTGTTGGCTATTTGAAAATAGGTATTTGTAGTCTAGCTGATCTTTTCCATCTTAAAAAAAAAAAAAAAAAAAGCCCCCAAACTGCAGCATTGATGTCTGGTGTTTTGTTTTTGTTTTTGTGTTTTTTTCTAAAAAAAAACTTAAGTGAGACAACTTTCCTTGTTTAAACTGTAAATCCCCATGTACTGAATGAGCTTATTACTGTTGTTTCTAGTTAGCTGGCTTACACTGCAACACCATATTCTTGGGCAGATGCTGACCACATTTTTCTCCCCGAATTATAAAGGAGTGGTAGTTAACAGGTATCGCTGCTCAGGAGATGGCCAAATAAGAACAAGAAAGAAGTTTAGTTGAGAGACTGTATGGTACTATCCTTACTTTGTTGAAGATGGACAGGATCCTTCACATCGGCTTACAGTGACGTTTGTAGAACAGCCTTTGTAAGTTATGTTTTCTTCATACTTGAGTTCTCTGCAAGGCTCTGTCAAATGTAAAAAGACAAAAAGTACAGCAGAAATTCTTAGTCTTCTCAAGGGACCTTTGCTGGATGCCAAAGCCTCCATACTGGGTTTCATGGAAAACCATTCCATTCCTAGTGCATGAGTCGATTAACAAGTCACAAGTGAGTAAGACCGCAATAAAAGGTTTTAAACCAGGCCCTGAAGCTGCGTGAGGTAGTTACCCTGGAGGACAACTAAGAAAATGCAAGTCTCTGGAATTAGAAATGAGGAAAAAAAAAAAAAAAAAAATCCTGTTAAGAATATAATGCAAATTCAGTCCAGCAGGACAAAACTAATCCACTGATGAGAACAGAGAGATGCAAATAAAACCAGCTGGCTAATCCTGGTGGAATTACTTCTGGCTCTCAGACTTTGTGTTAGATTTTCCTTGCTTGAAAAATGCTTAATTGATTCATTTTAAGGATTGATTGATTGATTTATAGACAGCCAGAAGTTCAACTGAAATGCCTGCCTGAACTCTGTCTTTTCTTACTAGATAGAACACATAATGCTACATAGCAGGTAAAGATTAAAGGTATTGATCTTGCGTTTTCTCCTGACCTGAAACAAGACACTAAGCAGTAACACACAATTTTAAAGATTGCTTTTGAAATTCATGTTAAGGAGAACAAAGATGTTGAATACTATGAAGGTAATTCATGCACCTCTCATGCTGCCCTTTTGGGCACATTCAGGTTCCCTGCTTGAAGAAGGGTTACGGGTCAAACCTGCACATTGTTGTGGGGAAGGCTCAGTTAATACTGTAGTAGGAATGTGAGAATTTGTCACTGGAAAATAAGGTGACTAATAACTGGACACTAGACTAATGTACTATACCTGTATCTCATAAATGAAAAGCTAGGAGCTGGACTAGTATTTAAATTTTCTTTCTGAACTGAAAGGTATTGTTAATGTTCTGCAAGACTGAAAAGTACCAGAAATGCTCAGTTTAGGGCTGAAAAATGTGCAGAGGAAGGAGAACAACTTGTTTGCTACTTTCTGAACTCATGAAATAAATACTGAGAGGTGTACTGCCTGTTGCCTCCAAGGAATAAACCCTGTAAGAGTATGGTTGGGGAGATACTGTCCTGAAGCACTTTAAAAAAAAAATGCAAACAGAATCTAGAGCTAGGACCAAAACCATAATTATACTGGGGCGAATCTTCCTGCTTATGTGAGGGTTCCTGCTTGGATTCCCATTCTGTGAGGTGAAAATTAAGAGGATGCAGGGAAAGCGGGGTCAGAGGGAGCGGGGCAAGAGAAAGAATCCCTCGGGTCAAGCTGTCATATCCCGATGCTCACGCAATCGGTCAATTTGAAAGTCCTTTCTTTTCAAAAAACCTGAAACCAGCCCCTTTGGTACTGCAATCCCTGTGTGACAGTGGGGGGAAGGACAGGCGCTGCGGTCGGTCGCTTGCGCTGCAGGTTCCGCCGTGCCTTGTGGGGGAGGTGACTGACCTGTACAAGCCACGCTCTGCTGGTGAGATGAACGGTGAAACCAGAGGTGAAAGGTTCTCCCAGAGGCTCCTGCACCCCCTGTTACATACTGAGCCTCACGTCACCATTTGAGAATAGTAGTTAACCACAAATACTGGTTCCTTAGTTGAGTAATTGGGACCCTTTGTGTAAATCAGCCTTCTGGGGTAAGACTCGGTGGGTGATGTCTTGGATGGCTTGAGCATGGTG